AGAGAGAAAGTTTTGTGATATCGTAATGCCACCAATGATCCATGATGGTATAAGAAGAGTGGGAAACGTCGCTCGGCCTTTCATCCTATCGAATATTTGTAAGGTAATTTCGGGTGCGACGTCTCTTAAACATTGCGTCCGATCTACATTGTTGATATTTGATAATTGCAGATTAAATTTAGAATTTTATGTTATATTCCCTTTCATTACTATATTTATAATTATTACTTGAATTAAAGCATGTTTGGGTAACAAGTAAAAAAAAACAACTTTTATTCTATATATTATATCATCCTCTTATTTTTTTATGAGTCAGTGTCTTGTGACAAGCATCTATGTCGAAAAAATGCTAATGGAAAATCAAACGTAATTTGCATTTTACGCTAATGTTTCTTTATAGTATTGCAACGTATTATTAAATTTAACGAGACCAAAGTGATTGTTATGTTTTCACGTGCGTGCGTTGGATAATTATAATTATTCACTATTAGCATCGCGCTGATACCGTCATTTTAGCTTGCGACAAGAATCACCGGTTGTCAAACGTTCGATCACGTGTAACTTAAATGTTACATTTGAAAAAAATATATCGCGACGTTAATGCAATCAAACGCGGGTATCTCTGTTTTATCAGAGAGAGAAAGCACGATGTACTTAATATATACGCTTAATATATACATGCGTGGAACACTTCCAATCTCAAACATTGTGTAACCGAGAAGGCCCTTTAAGTGTTTGCTCGTGATAAATAATGTGACAACAAAGCGATGTGATAACCCAGAAATTCTGAACGAGATTACTTTGACACGTCCCTACAAACACGCGGTTTAAAAAAATCGTGTAAGTTTTTTTATTTCACGGATTTGCGTCAAATTACCATTTTATTTGTCCGCAAATCAAACGGAGAGCGCATGCTGCATACATTTAAAAAAAAAAATGGAATATTTTAACATTTAAAGAATACGTAGCACTTGCTGATATTCGACATTTTGCTAAACAAGATTCTCTTTTTCTTATCGCTATAAAAGTCATCCTGTGGTCAAACTGGGAGATACTCGTTAATAATATATTTTTTTCGGACTAATGTTTGTTCTTTTTAATAAAAATACAGAATTTCAAAGAGAGATGATAAATTTAAAGAGCTTAATATCACCAAGATATTAAACGATTTAAATTAGAATTTGCGACGAATTATTTTCTCTCGATTTTTCGGCAGGAAAATATTGGGAGTCCATCTCTATTAAAGTATACCGTCGTCGTGTCGTCGTGTGCAAGACGAGAATTCATGCGGATCGAGATCCCGGCCCCGGCGATTCGTGAGCCGAGGCATAACCTCGTCACACCGCGGGCTTTACGCTTCGTAACAATGCCCCGACTTTCTCCGTCACTTTCATTTTCGTTGGTCGGCTGGTCGGACTCTCCCCGCTTCTCTCTCGCCTGGATTAAGAAATAATGCGTGCCCCTCCGTCGTGCCCCGCTCCGGCCGACGGAGGTCCCCGATCGCGCCGCGCTTACCCGGGCCCTCCATCCGCCTGCGGTTGGCACCCGCGATTTTAGAAAGGGTCTCCTACCTCTTCTCTCTCGCACGTTGCCCCGTTCCGTATTGGTACCCTTGCGTTATGTTGCACCTCGCGGAACGTGAAGCACGCGCGACGCGCCCTTTTCCTACCTCGCGTTGTTCCTTACATTAAAATAGTAATCTGGAAATATGGCGTTTTAACATGTAACATATTTAGCTTCATTAATTTTATTATACAAACTATATATGTGAAACAAAAAAGAATCTTAAAATAGGCATACATATATTAAAAACTTTTTAAATTATTTTTTAAGATAAAAATAATTTTTTTTCCTTATATATTAGTTATAAATTTAAAAAAATTATAATTATATAATTAATGTATATAATTATAGTCAATGAACTGGTGATTCTTTTTTTTTCTCTCTAAGTCCGGTTATCCTGCTTGACTCTTACAGCAGCTGCCAACGAGCAAAGAGAGAGACGAAGAGGGAAAATATGAAACGTTATGGAGGGTCAATATTTTTTTTTAACACGTATATTTCACTTTCCGTTGAAAAATAATGCCGTAAATCGTCGTAGGAAATAATAGAATCTGCACAAATCAACTCTCTCGGCGCACCGCTGTTATTATTCGCTAGAGATATTTACAATGACTGGAACTGTCATCCGAAGAGGGGGTTCTTATTTCTGAGGGCGAGGGGTTGAAGCGGAAACGAGACCGGATCCCCAACGCCACCGGATCTCCCTCCTTTTAGGTGGAGAGGAGAAGGAAAAGTATAATTGGGGGAGAGCAGAGTAATATAGTACGTTCGCGCGCGGAAACTAGCAGCTTCCAATTATACAGCGATAGCGAAAAAGTGTGCAGTTACAGCCTACCCTGTTCCTCCATTCCAAAAACATTCACGAGATACGAATACATCATAGAATCCGACGATTTTTTCGTTAAACGCACAACTTTAGAGCGTCGCAATAAATAGTAGCGAGCGAGATAATTATTAAATAGCGATATCGCGAGAGATAATTAGTTAATAGACGCGCACCTGGCAGTAATACGAGGAGAGAGTCATTCTCGTAACGTTTGCGCGATAAGTCGATAGAACAGACGGGGAAAAAGGGATGGAGAGGAAGAGGGGAGAAGGGGCCAGAGGACGAAAAGGGAACGACGAGTAAAAGACGAGTGCGAGATAAAGTTTTGTGGTCGTGATCAGGAACGCATGCGACATTTAACACATCGAGTACATTTAAAAGTGCCTTACATTTGCCTCGCGCCGCAAATGCGATCTTCGCTCGCACGCTGTTCGATTTGCACCTGTTTGCTCGCACGAGAGATGCGACGAAAAAAATCAAGTGTGATTAAGCGCAGGTTGTCTTGGGAAAATGGTTAACCATGTACATACATTGATATCCGTATCGTTATCTTTCCTCTCAATGGGAATTGTATTCGTAAACGGTTGATAAAATTTGGGAGATATGTTAATTTTTAGATTTACTTATTATAGAGGAAGAACGTAAAGATTTAATCTCAATTTAATCTCAATTAAATCGCAATTAACAAAAATACAAAATAATGCTAAAAATACAAATGTAACGATCGATAATCACTTTCTTATCGAATAGTATCTTTGTATAGAAAAGTCTATCATTAAAAAAAAAGATGATGAATCTAGGATATTCTGGTATACGTGCTCTGTAATATTGCTCTCTTGGCTATAGTTTAATTTTATCCTGTGATATCAATCGCGTAGCGTGTTTAATATGTCGATAAACGTGCTTTCTTATCCTTCGTCTCGTTTGTATGCCTTACCAGCTTTAGTTGTCACTTGCGCAATTGCGCTTGCAACAGAAAAGATATGAAATAAGCGCAATTGAACTAATATGATTACAGGTTAATACGTTGTGTTATGTCAACATTATCGCATATGTTCTTATTCGCTTTGATAAATCTACAATATATAGAAAGAGTCCCTGTTTTTTATAGAATAGAATTTAGAATATAACCTCCCTTATTAAAATGTATATATATATATGTATAAAAAAAATAAAAATTGCTAAAGCAAAGTTAAATTATTAATATATAAATTCTTATTGATTTTTTAAAATATAAAGCTAGATGGTAATTATATCTTTCAAGCCGTCAGAAGCAGCCAGCCAGCAGACTCTTAACTTCATTTCCCTTGGTAATGTCTTTCTAGGTATGATGGAAATGTCATGGCAAAACCTTTCACCGTGTTTGTGTGTTCCGACATCTACGGTAATTTTATTTACAATAAACAATAAAATAACATAAGAAAAATTCAAATAGCAAGGAAATTTTAACCATCAATCTAATGTCAATAATGCAGTGTTTTTTGGCCAATTTAGCGATATAAAAATGTAGAAATATGTGTTTTGCATACCGAATACATTTATAAATAATGCCAATTAAATAAACATTTTTAACTTCGATCTCAACATCTATTACAAAAAGTTATTTATATAATGGCGTGTAAAACCAAAAATGCAAAAATATTTTAGATGCACTTCCCTCAATAATCAAATCCCATAGAACACGCTAAAAACTCTTGTTATTTCTGCTCGTATTTTTGATCTTATTATTATTGTTCGATTATTTATCACATCATAGAGCTCTGAATCAACAAAAAAGAGAACTTGCAAGTTAACGTACAGTCAAAAGGTTTGAGGGTCGAGATAATTTCGTACCATTTTCCCGAGACCTGACATTAAAATCCGGCATCGTTCTTGCGAGACTGTGCTCGATGTCGACGCGAGTCGACGACGGGAATTCGAAATGGTATTTTCGTAGTGCAACTAATAAAGTATGCCTAACTACAAAGTACGTATAGTTTCCGACCGCCCATTTACGCAACACACAGCGTGCGAAGGTCATTTGCGACAACAATGGGATTTCTAAGTGTCCGGAGCATTGCCTTTGCTCTCTCCATCCGTTCCGGTCACGATTATTCGACGTTTCGCAATCGCGATTGATAATGAATAATGATCGAGCGACGCGGTCGGGTCGCCTTTCTGTGCGGCTTACGTTAGATTTGACCCGAGGCATTTTCATAGCGGAAAATTCGCGCGATTTGACAACGTACGGGCTCGACGATGCATGGTAGCGCAAACTCCCGTAAAGCGGAATGAATGAAATGCACCGACCTAATTAATCGATCTTGCGCGTTTACAGCCGTCTTATGCAACGAATGCGTGTATGTACGTGTGTATCGCGCGTGTAGCGTGTTATATAATTTTATTAATACTTATTAATATTGTCATACTCTTTTTTTCTCAGGAATGCAAAAATTATTCGTCGCCGCTAAATATTAGAAAATTTACCACTTCTAATAATTTCGATCTTTATATACTTCATCATTTTTTTTCTTTTAATATAAAACACGATTCGTAGCAAATGCTTCAAGAAAACTTATCGATACCTTTTACTTTCTTGTTTCAACATATAATTCATATTTCGTAAATATATATATATATAATACCTCGAATAAAAGCGTATACTTGCAATGCATTCCTCCCAACTACATTCTACAAATTTACTCCGTCTTTACTCAATGCTGTTCTTCGTCATTTCATTTTTGCGTTCTTGAGCAATACGCTCAAAAAGCGCCAGCGAACTTTCTCATTGAATTGAATGCATGGCTTTCGCCATGGAAATTGAGTGATTCGTGGTTTGGACGCGTTAAGACGGCCATGTATTTACAAACGCTAATGAATACGGTTCGAAGGAGTGACATTTTCATTCACACAGTCGCCTGAATCTCGCGTTACAACTGCATCAAAAGGATAAAGAATTGCCACGCCGCAGGCGTACCTTGTGTGCGCGGAGACTGCGCGTTTTCATAATTAAAGCAAAAGACTGCGTAAACTAGACTTTGCGAACTGTAATGATCTTTGCAAAATACATTCAAATAAATTTAATCAAGTGAAATGAGAGAGACTACCAAGGAGAATATTATTGCAGAAAGAGTTTTCAGCTCTTTCTCTTGACAAGCTATTTTATAAACTGCTGTGTGCATTTATTGTATATTTAGAGAGTTTTATATCATTTTCATATATAACAGATATTAATTATAAGATAAAGAGGTGAAAGAAAGGAGATATAAAATATAAACTTTAATTAAAATAAAAATACCTGAATGTTTGACGAATTTATATTGCGCATTCAATCTATTTGATTAAATTGGCAATAAAATTTGTTTTACTTAACTAAACTTTCTTCATCATGAAAGAAAAAAAGATGCGTTTTAAATCATCCGCATTTAATAATGTTAAAGATGAAGCTCTTTCGAAATATTACCCACGTTTGGCGCATAAATCGTTCAAATACGAGACCCAAAATATACGCAAACGCGAGCTCTAATTGCTATGGACGGATGTGTCCGTGCCGATTGTTTTAACTTTCCTTCGCAAGCTCTCTCGCCAAGTAGACGACGATAATATTCTATTTTGATTCCTGATCATCTGGTAAACAGAATTAATAACAATATAAATGTCATACCTGATGTATTTATTGTTAAGGGCAGTATGTCGCAAATGGGCAGTGACGTTCAATTCCTTCCGAATTTGATTCTATTCTCTCTTCAGACCTTCAATTTGATTACAAACTTAATGGACGTACTTTCGGCGTTATGGCTTTTCGGATCGCTATAGCCTTGGCTATACTTATCCGGCGACTCGCAATCCGCGATGCGAGATTTCAAACGAATTTTTTAATCGGTCGTGTGTGCAGAAATTTGAACCGATGCATCATACGCTGTCGATCGCGGACGGACGATTTAAATGAATCCGCCTAGCGCATCGTGAAAATCTTGCAAATAGGCGAGCAATTGAGGCATGGTCGGCCGATCCCTGGAAGGACCGAGCCAACAGGCTTCCATACAGGCGAACAGCTCATCGGGACAAGGTCTCGGTTGAGCAAGTCGATATCCGTCTCGAAGACACGCCATCATCTCAAACGGGTCCACCTCTACGTATGGCTGCTGACCCAGTGTCGCCAGTTCCCATAGGAAAACTCCAAAAGACCACTTGAAAGAAAAAAAAATATTGCGTAATAAAATTAAATATCTATATAAGATAAATATGTAATTATACATAACTTATTTTCTAATTATTTAAATGACAATAAAATGATAAAATCGTCTTTTTAATACGAATGTATATTTTTTTATTATTTCAATTTTAAAACAGAGTGAATTTATAATATATGTAAAATTGTAATAAATTAAATTTTCTTTTTAGAAATATTTGGTTAAAGAACCCTTTTATTTAGTATTTTAACTATGGGCAGAAATATATTTATTTACTTAATCCGCGCCGATATATTTCCACGAAAAAAGCAATACGGCAGTTCAATTTGTCAGTATAAATTGGGATCGTACCACGTCGGTTGCCGTGCTGTACTCATTACGCTGAAGACTCTCCAAGGCCATCCAGCGTATAGGTCGGTTCTCGTTATCACCGAGACAATGGTAATCCTGAGGGAAGAGATCTCGAGCCAGGGCAGCATCAGCCAATCTCACGCGAAGGCTGCTCGGTTCGATCAGACAATTTCTGACAGCGATATCCCTGGAAAACGAATAAATCGATCCTAGACGGAAACGATCGCGTTGACATCTCCACGATAACCGTGATAGACGAGCTTTGTACATGCGAGGAGCAATGAGCTTTAATAATGATTACGGCCACAACAATAATTTATAATATTATATATTCAGCAAGTTTAGTTTTAAAATTTATTTTTTTGACGATATAATCTTTATCTGTCATTTATTCCCGATAAATATAATTTTGTTCAAAAAATTTGTGGTTTAAATATTAAAATTAAATTAAGTACTAAATATATCAAATATTTAAAGAAAATATTGAATGTCAGAAAAATTATTATGTGAATTATTGTTGAATTAATAAAGAGAAAAGATCAGTCCCTTAAATCATTCTTGAATCGTACTAACGGCTCGTAATAACTTATGGCTAATAAATATCTTAGTCACATCAACGTAATAAATTTTAATGATGCTTTGCAATGAATAATAATTTACCTGTGTAATAATCCTCGGCCGTGGAGAAATGCTCCAGCTCTAGCAACTTGTGCGCCAACATGTACCAAATCTCTAGTCACTGGATGATGATTTCCATCGGTAAGATAGACTTTTAGGTTTAGTTCACCGGGTGTACTTGTGTAAGCCAATAAAGGGCACGAACTGTCCAGACAAGCAGCCGCCAAAGAGGCGATGTTTGAGTGAACTAATCCAGCCAATTGCGAACCCTCAACCACCAAAAGAGACGCTTGGTAAGCGGATGCAACTTCTGAAATAAACATGATTATTCAGCCTCAGTGATAGCGTTAAATTAAAATATCTGCGTGATAATCAAAATTATGCATTGGGGTTTTGTTGAACAATCCTTAAAAAAAATCTTTTCAATAAACATATTTTAAATAAATATAATTTAAATAAATAAAATAATTATAATTCAAATTTGTACAATAAAACTTACCGTTCTGTTTAAATAATATTATGATTTCAATAATCTTTCAATAGAACATTTATTATCTCTTTTACTTTGTCAAATTATGTATGTAATTAAGAATTACTTCGTAAATAAACGTTTGTGAATCAAATAATCACGTGATAAATTAATGTATAAAAATTAAATCATAATTATTGAATTTTATATTTAAATACCAAGTCGACAAATATATTGATCTATCTAATCATAGAATACGAGTAACCGATAGCAGATACAATAACTTTCTGGTTTATCTTTAACAGGTATTTTAATATTCATTGATCATTAAATCTATGCAAAAGATTTTTTATGCAAAAAATAATTACAATTTAGATTATTTTAATAATTAGATAATTAAATTTTTTCCTTAATTTCCTGTTTTTTCTATGTATACATTAAATCAATTTCTTAGTATTTAATTAATAATTTCAACTAAACTAAGAAAAATTGTAATTAAAAGATGCAATATACGTTATACTATACATAATACTACATATATTACACATTAATATAAATTTTTAATATTTTTTATAAATTCTCACCTGTGACAGTTTTTATGATGACTTCCTGTTCTCGTCCAGCTAATTCCAAAGTTCCTTTGTATACGCGACCGAAAGTACCTTCCTGCACGAGAGTACGGCAATACAATGCCGATCTCGATATCGCGAGTGCTCTGGCCTTCTCACACGGGTCAGTTGACTGAAAATATATTTAACAAATTAAAAATCAAATAATTACATTAAAAAATCTATTGAAAAAAGCATTATAAAAACATACTAGAACTGATCTAAAAGAAATGATTGCGAACAAGACAGAGAAAACAGAAAAAGAAGGAAAAGATATTTTAACATCTACTTCAGATCTTGTTCGTTATCAATCGAGAAAAAATTATTGGATTATGCAATTATTTATATGTTAGTAGTTAACAACTTACGCTTGCTGTCGTTTAAAATCTCAATCGTGCGCGCGGACGGACGCGCTTGCATAATTCATAACCGCCCGAAAAAAAAAGAGAGAAATCCCCATCGGGTGGGGATTCATTAAAAAGGCATTTGTCGCGTGTAAGGTGACGCCGACGAGACCTCGTCGCGCGGGTCCACCGGGGAAGAAGCCTCCCCCCGGGCGTCGTTATGGCATCGTGTCGCGCGGCCCTCTTTGTTCGCCAGACGGATTTCCATTGGTCCCCGACGTAAAACGCGAGAAAGCTACGCGACGCGCGCGCAGGAAGGGTGACTATTCATTAATTTCAATTTTCCAGAGTTTTGCCTTCGGCCCCTCCCGTTCCATTTGGACATACGCACACGCGTACACGCCCACGCATAGACAGCGGCGAGGCGCGAGGGGGAAACGGCGAGGACTGGATGAAAATGGGAAAAAAGGGGGAAGGAAACGCGACGGAAAACCGGTTCAAAATACGTCGATGCAACCGCGTCGCGAAATTACCGCGCGATATATTGGATTCGAGGAAAGGGAGCGGGTATGCGACAGAGGCAACAGTTCGGATTCGAATGAACGGTGAGGATGTTGGTTGGTCCGCCGAGAACGATCTCGGAAATTATTTACAAAATTCCCGGATAGCGAGCGGGACGCTCGGTGAAAATGCAAACACCGCGGCTAATTCCGCGGCTTATCCAAGCTCTGTGATTATTGCGGCGGCGAATTGTGTCGGCGCGCCTGGCGAACGTTGTTTTCGCGCGAGTAACTGGCAAGAGTCGGATTCGAATCCTCGGACGCGAACGCGATTCGTCGTCGATCTCGTTTTCCCTCACGGTTATATTTTGTCGCGATACTCAGTCGGCGTCATATATGCGTGCGTTTGTGTGCTTTTTTTTTGTTTCCCGATGAAAATGTGATGAGCGAGATGGAAATTGCCGAGTGGGGACCGTCTCGCGTGTTAGAGACGCGAATGGAATTCGGAGTGTTGCGTAACGAAGCTATAAATATAAATTAGATTAGAATCAAGAATTTAAGTCCTGTCTGATATCCGATTATCATAAATTCATTACTGCAATTAAAATTCTAAGACTTAATTTAATATAACTTGATGTAATTTCTGATTAAATTTAATATATTGAATGAAACATCGATCGTATCAGTTTACATTGGTAGTTTTGAAGAGGATATAATACAATCAATGTACAGGCGAAAAATTTCCAATTAAATGAAATATTTTGATTTCTCATAGCGTTCTAAAATTAACAAGCAAAATATCACGATTTGTTCGATTTATTCTCAAATATTATTTTATTTCGCACTAAATGATATATAAAATAATTTACTTACTAATCAAGGCGATCGCAGAAGAATATATTGTAAAAATTTGTTTAGACGAATCATTCTGAAATTTTTCATGCATTTATAGTAACGAATATTACTTCACTGTTTGCATTACAGAATCAGAATCAAAGTATCGAACGTGCAGCGCCATAGTCGAGCGTTTTTAGCTCATCCAGCGCGGGGGGAACGGCAATTTGATTTATTTACTGAAAGGCTTTCGTCAAACATCACGTTCATTCGTTTGTTCGTTCGATCCGCTGAAGGCGCTCTAAAAGCTTCGTTTTCAGACTACCGTGCTCGACATGCCCAGAGCACTTTTAATTCGCGACTCTGCCGATGTAATAATACAATTTTCCGTCTCACCCGGATTAAAAAGCGACGGTTTCGGCACGATGGAGCGGAAGTTCGCGACGGCGAGAATTAATTAAATCGAAGAATCGGCTTTTACGTAACTAATAATTACGTGGCGTCAGCTCGATACATCGCAAAGTAATTGCTAATTCGACAACGAAATCGCCGCGAGGGACGCTCGCGCTTTTTCTGATTTTGCTTTAAATGATTTATATGATATTTTTAATACGCTCGAAATTATTAATTGTTCTTGTATACCGTGTTCCTCGATGTCGCAAAATTTATGAAATAAACTGCTAGACGTCCGTCAGTCATTTTTGCTGTGGTGGAAACATCTCCATAAAAAGTTTTAAAAATGTAAAATTTTCATAATATGTGGAGTTATTTCTTCATTTATTTTTTCAAACTATTTTTGATCGATTGTCAAAATCGAATTTCTCTCGCGGGGAAAAATAATGATAATCTTCCACGATATAAAAAAGTTAGTTCTTTTATGATTGATCTCCAATAATAATACACGCGTTGACAAATAACTAGTTTGCTCCGTTACGTGGAGTTGGCGCAAAGCGCTTAAGATCAGATAGGCACATCGGCAAATACGCGATCGGTTATCTCGACCGCGATGGTGGTACGTACGTCTAACTTTTACGAGGAAAAGAAAAGGGGATTGTCGCGTCCGGACAGGCCATGCGGAAAATGGCCGGGTCCGCCAGGCTATTTCCCTGCGTCCGATTCGCTCGCGCAGAAACTCACGGAGGAGAGATTCCAGGAGGGAAAGATAAACGGGTGTGTGTTTGTCCTCGTGCCGAAGATCGTTTCCCCGATAGACAGCGCCAGGTAATGGCTTCCCCAGCAATGGGATCTCAAGCGTATCGTTTTACAGGGTTGGTGGTAAGACGCTGTCGCTGGATTCTGGATTACGTCAGTCGGTCGGTCCGAGAGGGTTGGCTGGCGGGTCGGGAGGGTAAGTTTTCACGAAGGTTCACGGTTACATCAAGCCGTCAGTATATATACGGTACGTGCGGGTGCTCGTACGTGACTATACATGATGTACCTTTATATATATATGTGTGTGTATGTTCACGGGGTCGGTTGCGTTCGAGACGGAGCGTCGCGTCGAAGAGGGTTGTAGAGAGAAGGGGAAGAGCGCATATACGCGCGTATACCCGGTAAATTGATCCAAGATCAAAGCCGAAACAATCACAGGACCCACTTCCACAACCGCTCTCTCCCTCTGCCGGCTCCCTCAGAGCTCGACGCCGATCCTCGCCCTCCCTTTCGTGTCTGAGGAGGGCAAACGCCGGCGTCAACGACGGCCTATTATAACCGTGTACGTACGTACATGCGTGTAACCCGCTGCCTGCCGATGCACTCTTTCTCTCGTTCTCATGCCCGACAATGTGAAGGTGAATATATATCCGCGTTTCTTCTCTCGGGGAAATTAATGCAAAACGCTTGTTCCGCGAGAAACGACGCGGCGCGAAACGAGCGTTCCCATATTTATTCGACATTTTCGCGCGACCCTTCGCTCCTCTCTTCTCTTCGATTGCGCACTTTTGCAGAAAGATACTCCGGGGGACGACGAGTAATAGCGGCGGGTAATAGCGCGTGCTTTAAAACGCGGTAGTTAAAACGACGCGGCGGCCCGTGACACGCGGCGATCGCGTGCGCGGCCGGTGATTGAAATCGACCTTTATCGCTTTTTTGCGGCCGCTCGTAAATATCACTGTACGTATGTGTATGAGAGACGCGTTAGTACGCGCAAGGGTACTTACCAATTACTCTTTATCTTCCCATAAAGACAGCCGTATAAAATAATCGCGGAGAAATTAGCCATTTTCTTTAATAAAGTATTTACCTAATACTGTCTTTTTCACTTAAGCGAACAAATTTTTTTTCTATATCTGCTATGTAATAATAATAGATATGTATATTTTACAAGAAAAATAATCAGCATATGTTTATTAAAAAAATATCGCTATTGAGGTATATTTAAAATCTGTTTTGTGAAAATATTGAATAGATACAATTTTCATCCCGGATATTTTAATACATACATGCTGATTAGGTCGAAATTTACATTATTATTAATCAAAATTGAATGACTAACCAAAAGTTCATGAAATTGAGCGTGGTATAGCAGACAATAAAAAATATCTCTTATCATATTAAAAACTTTCATCTTAAGAAAAGAAAATTTTACGGTGTTTTTTGAAGATATAATTCTGAGAAAGTGATCAATGCGCCAAACACACATCTCGTTTCGCCAAACGCGAACTCAAAGGTATGAAAGGGATCAAAGACGCGGTCAGCAGTCTTGTCAAAGCGACGATAGAAGGGAACTGAAGGAGGGAGATTCCGCTCGAAATGCAGGTATCGGCGAACGCGCTCGGGAAGACGCAAGTCGAAGCAAAAAGGCACTACACGCGTACAGCTTTTCCCCTACGTTTCGTCTCGAGGTGAAGAGAGGTGGGTGTTGTAGGTTGGCGGGTTTAGAATCGCTGAATAAAGAGCCGAAGGGCTGCAAAGGGTTGGGCGCCAAAGTTGTCCGTGGAAAGCGGCTCGCTCGGCCGCAAACTCGATAAAGTTGCTAGGCGCGGCACTCATTGTGTGTATATACATATATATATAAAGGACGAGACGAGAGACGAGACGAGATGGAACGGGACGGGACGCGGGATGAGACAGGAGGAAGAGACGTCTCGCGCTGTTTCCGCTTCCGGTAGTCCGGTGGCAGACGCGGAGTTCGCGATAGCGAAGTGGAAAGAGATTTCGACCGGGGAAAAAAATCGGATTTCCCGACGCGCAATACGAGTTTCGCGTTCGTCGTCGAGTCTGTTTCACGGACTATTTCATCTCGTGCAGCAAAATTCAGTCGTTTTATGTATCCGTTATTTGGATAATTAAATGTTGAGTTATATTTCTGGCAAATTCTAAAATTTATCTCAATTTAAAGTTTCTTATATTTCAAGGCTCAGAAAATTATACCAGTGCCTTGGCATAGTGTGCGCGATCCCAGATATGTCAAGAAAATACATATTTAAAACTAAAAATCCCTGAATTTGAATCATATAATATAACGGTGGTAAGCGACATAAAATCACATATAAATGACATTTTACATGAAATGTGAATTACATAAGATGACATTTGACATAAAATGTGAATTACTAAATATTTCGTATATATTTTAGCTTCAAATAGACACACACCTTCGCCTTAGCATGCCCGTTAAATCATTGTCATCGCATACCTGGCTCAGATGCGTCACATGGCTCGCCGCGTAGTAACTCGCTCTGGAACCGCACGGCCTCGCGTACAGCGGCTCGAGGTCGGCAATGGTGGCGTAACTTCCGGAATTCGCGCTTCCGGGCCGCGGGTCGACTCTAACCAAGACGGAACTTCTCGCCAGGCCGCCGGTGTCAGCCGCCGAGTAACTGCAGCAGGGCAGAGTTTTCCTGAAAGGACGAAAGGACCTCTGCAGCCGCGCGCGATTGTTACACCCGGGTTAATTATCGTTACAATGGGGTCGCGCTGTGAAAGCGGGAGCTCGAGTGAGATTGTCACGAAGCAGAAGCTGCGGGTACCGCGGCCAGACGATCTCACTGAGACAAATTTTAATACGCTATGCCGAATCTTTCCGGCAAATCCGAGAACCCGCGGACGTTGCGAATGTCGTCGAGAGGATTTTGGTCGACGATTTTGCATGGTGCGCTTAAGCTTTAAAGCGCAGATTTACGCCTTTTTTAAGATTCACGAGAATATTAGTTATCTTTATTATACGTTAATCTCGAAGCAGTTATATGACTTTATAAATTCAAGGAAACGTCAACTACAGCTATGAATTATTGTATCACAAACAGTCAAAATATTTATTTTTTATCAATTTTCTTAAAATTAATGTTTACATGGGTAATGATCGATTCATGATTAATGATCGATTAAATATTTTTAAATACTTTAGTATGCATTTATTAATCCATATTAAATCACAAATTTTCGCAATTCAAAAGTATTTGATAAGCTTCATTGTTAGAGTCGGAAAATATATACTTTAACTGCTAATTTTACCTCGCTTTAGTTTCGCCTGGGGATCACCATAATAAGCTCTTTTAGCAAGCTTTTCCCGCAGGACTGTTCGGATAGTAATATGTTGGAGTAAACGCGTAGTTCAAATTACAACATCATTTACGAGATAGACAGTCGCTTTATAAAGTCCGGCAGATACACTTTTCCCGGCAAAAGATAGAAGAGCATAAGTGGGAAGAACGGTGCATTATCATATTTCAAAAGCGTGCTCCATTCTGCACCTTGTGCATAACCCTCAACGAGAAATTATCTTCGACAAGGAATTCCTCGGGTACTCCCTCCTCCCTCCTTCCTACTTCCTACCTTCTCTCTCTCTCTCTCTCTCTTTCTCTCTCTCTCTCTCTCTCTCTCTATCTATCTCCAGAAGGATTTACATCCCGTCCCGGATGAGCTCCCGAGGAGCTCGAAATGATCCTTTCTCTTTCGCACCGACGATCTTGCGATAAAGAAACGCGTCAATTCGATTCTAACTCGAGAAAAGCTATTCTTACCTTCAACTTAACCGATTTACTTTTGAATGTAATTTATCTCTATTCCACATCGTTGGCCTAACATTACATTTGTATTTAGTTTGCCTCTTATCTTTCTGTTCTGTTTTTAAAACGTATATTTAGCACGGTTTACACTTTACGTGCGCATGTAGGTGTACACTAAGCGAATGTTTTCGCATGAGTAAATGTGCGAGCCCTCTTTTCGCGAAAGGACAAAGCGTGATGCATTTATATTTGATTAAACACAATAGCTTTAGCGTATATATATATATATATATATATATATAAATAAAAATAATCTTTTTATTTATTTTACAATAGCTTCAGTGTACATATATATAAATAAAAAGAAATCTTATTTAAATTAATAAGAACAGAATTTAAATGTTCCATAATATTGTCTTTTTAAGGGATCAACAGAGATCATTCTTATTTATCTTATAATTTCGAGATTAATATTAAGTTCCCGCAACAAATATTTTTGGAACAGATTGTCTGCTTGAAAATCTGGAAAGAGAAAAAAGTAGAAACGAAACGGAATGAGACAACTGAAAAATAGCGGCGAGAAATAGAGGAGAGGATATTTTTAGCGATTTATTGGCCATTTCGTGAATGTAAATCTGCCGAACGTATTCGTTAAAAAGACGAGCGATAGAAAAACGCGTACAGCAATCGATTTCAAATATCCCCCGATTCGTTCATTCGTGTCCGTTTATTTTTACGCGACCCTTACGGAAGCGTTTCGCAGCCAGATCGACTTCCGACGAATCTGTCTACGCCCGTGAAGCGAGGAATAGAAACGTTAAAGCGTCGTTCGGAAAGTAATATCATTTTTGTAACTCGTGAGCAAGTATTCTCGAGCTGAAGTTTTCATAGATCGAAAATTTATAGCGAAACCGAGAACGTGTCCGCCGCAATATTATCGGCTCGAGCAAGATCCGTAAGTATAATCTAATATTTTATAAGTAAGAATGGGGTGTACAAAATAAATACAAAAAATAGTGTAGTTTCAAAAAAATCGGAGGGTTCACCTATTCGGAACTTTATCCAAAATGTCTTATATTCAATAGCTTTCTTTCAAAAGAAGACGCAACAAAAAAAAATCGTGCAAACTTTGCAGCAAATTACGATGAAATTTTGTCGTAAGAGTGTGAGCCTTAAGTTTAGAAAATCTTTTGAAAAAAAATCCTTAATATTTTTCTAATTATATGTAAAAACGTTTTGAATAACCTGTATGATATTTAAGATCAAATATCAAGAATTATTAAAAATTAACGAGTATCTTCATATACGTGAATCTTCTTATTATTAAAAGGAAAGCTAATAAGTATATGTGCATCTATGCAGTCATGGAAAGACCAATCGAGCCAATATCGAAATGCAAAAATAAACATCTCAGCGAAGGGGGAGCGAAAGTTGGAAGACTACAACGAAATCCCGACGCGAGTTTCGTGAGTGGCGTAACTACTCCCGAGAAAACTTTTCGCTGCTTGCCGAATCTCGAAGGCGCCTTTTGTACGTCGAGTTCGATGCGGCAAGAAGGGCTTACGAGGGACGAGGGCGGCCGTGTTCGTTCAAGCGAACGGATGTAAAATCTGCAGTTTTACCCGCCGGCGGGAATGTACGCGGAGGAGAAAGAAAGAGAGAAAGAGAGAGAGAGAGAGAGAGAGAGGGAAAGACAGACCGAGGGAAGCAAAGATCCTCGTTCCTTCGCGTGTTATCAGGGTGAAGAGACTCAAAAGAGCTAATATATCCCGGGAGAGACAATTGGTCTGCGTCAGGAGGAACGCAAAGGCGCGTATAAAGTGAGGGCGCGTCCCCTCCTTTGGATTTCCCATAAAGGCCACTTTGCCATGCGATAAATATTTGATGTCCTCCGATGCGAGATCATTGTTACGGATGATCGTGCTCGATCGCATTCGTATCACGCGCCCACCAATCGCGCGTTGTTTGTTCGAGCGAACATCTGTTGCTTTCTTTTTCAAATGCCCCGGTCAGTGCCGCGGTGAGATATTGATTTCAATTCCGCGACAGATTGGCGTGTAATATTTCAATCTCGCGTAATATAACGCTGAGATTTAACGTAATATATCTTCCCGTGTACTGCGTTTTTTTTATCGTCAGTCCGTACAGATCGATAGAAACAGCGAGAAACTTCGTATAAGAAAAAATAATTATAATTTTATCAGATATATATAGGATGTCACAAGTTTATCTCTATGATGAATAATTTTAAGTATGAAATATATGCAATAAATATAACAATTTTCCATCAAAGTTCGCTGAAAAAATAAATTTGCTATTTATCGTTTAACAGTATTGAGAAAAATTCGTCAAGAAAAATTCGCGACGGAAGACATCAAAGAAGCTAATAAATATCCGTGTAAAAGACAATTCGCCCTCTTTGAAACAAATAATAGGGGAACAGACGGAGGTGGCAGCAAAGTGAAGCGAAAGTGGCTTTGCTTCTGCCCAACTCTCCGGCGCGGCAGTATGGTTTCTATCTACATTCAAGTCTGTCGATTATGCCACGAAGTAGAGGCACGTGAAACAGAACATTCGATACGCTAAAGTATAAAATAATGAAAATAACGATCAAACTTTAAAAGCAACGGGTAGAAGTTTTCGCATAATATTCATCGTTAATGAGGAGACGGGTGCTAGAACACGATCTGCTTTGCGTTTAACGAGAAAAATTCATGACGGGGGCTTTTCAAGACGCTCGATATATTCAGACAAAGACAATTTGCCGACGAAAATAAGAGTCAATCCTATTAAAGGAAAAAGAGGGGGTCCAACATATACTTCGCCGCGTATCAAACGATTTTAAACATAGTACATACGCGCAAAAATGATTCTGTTCTATCCTAATAAAAGTTTACAGTACAGATACAAAACAGACAAAGAGAACTGTGTTCTTGCATCTTACTTTCTTTATAAAAAATGGAATAATAACGCTGCAAAATAAAATCGATTAAGCATTTTTACAAATATTAAATGACATGTAGATAACACAGGTTTGCAAAAATAATTTCTTTTGCGGGGCTTTAACTTTTGGCAGTTGTCTTTATTTGATTTTAGATTGTAATTATGAATCTGAAGTCTTTTACCTAACACGTAAGAATTTTGGGTCATTTCAATTAAAAGAACTGTGAACTTCATTTATGTAAATATTAAATATTACTATATAATATATATTACTATATTATTATATATTACTATTAATATTAAAAATTAATATTACCAAAATTAAATAATGAGACATGTGGGAGACGTGTTGGGACAAACGGATTTGATATTTGGATAAAGTGTAAAAAAATCATTCGAAAAAAACGCACTTTTGTCAAATGTTCCAAGTTTTCGCAGACCTGTGTAATCAATGTGAATAGAGTATCGTTTCAGAGGATCAAATACGCGATATTAATTTCAGAAAATAGCTCTATATAGCGAGTCCACTCAATTTATGCGCGCAACGCGGTGAAAGGCGGTCGACGAACAAAGAAATATAAAGCACGAATCTGGAAAGAGAGGTAAAAGCGAATCCTCTCTCGATCCCTTACATCTCCTCCTTCTTACGGTCTCTCCCGCCAGCCCTCACAAGGCAGAGGGTGCGTATAGCTATGCAATAAAATGTCGGCTGCCGTGCCAAACGGCCGACGGATCACCGGCGGCTTATTGAAAGGATATTTCATTCGGACGAGTTCCTCCTATCCAGCTTATCCCCGCGAATTTCCCGCGGGTGTACGAAAATCTTTTCGTCACTCACCCTCCGCCCCCTGTCCCTCTCCTATCCCTCTCCCCTCCCTCCTCCCGTCCCTCTTCAAATGGTTCTTCTGCTCGGCAGAAAATTCGCGACGTCGCAAAACACGCGCCCGCGGACTCTTTCACTCTCGAACGACTCGCGGAAAATGAGAGCGCGATACGTGAAAAGCCGTATTTACGACGCGTCTTACGCGAGGCAACGGCGTCTTACGTAATGGAAAAATCTTTTCTACGAGCACCGATTTGTACCCTTTTCTTTCTTTTTTTTTTTTTGCGAACGGCGTACGAAAGAAACGGTACTTTGAAATGCGAATTTAATAAGTGATGTAGAACGAGAAGCTGCACGGCGTCCACGTTATTCTTCCTCGTGTCGGTTTCTCTCGAGCCAGACGTCGGCTCGAAAATCACCGCGTTTGTGTGTGTGTGTGGAGTTTTCTACTGCTCTGATTATACTTCTTACTACCGTTTTTAATAATGCGCGAACTTTGTTAAATAATTCTAACGAGCCAAAGATTAAGACCGGAAATTTATCAGGACAAAGTCTCTTTCATCTGTTACACTTACTTCTTAAAAATTTCATTCTTAGACTTTTCTCGTGCTTTTAATCTGGACAATTTAAATACCGAAACAGCGGAAAAGTGATGGTAGATCAGAGCATTAAATATATGATATTCACACTATCACGCTTTTTTGTAAAATTAATTAAAAAATTTACTCACTGCGATTCTTGAACGCGAGCCTTGCTGTTGCGAATGTATAACGCACTGGCGACGCTGCCGACGACAAGAATTAAAGCGCATGCACAGGTAGCTGCGACGTAAAGTGCACCGGCACCGTTCACGAGCGGATCGGGCTCCAAACGTACCGAATCGTTGCTGGGAGGAGTCTCGACACCTGAAAAAAATATATAAATTAATTGATTATTTTTTGCAATTTTTATACATCCTCCTGATGCCGTTTTAAAAATCAAATATACCAATAAATGAAAGAGGGGTATATTACATTCGCTCGAAAGTTCAGTTATTGTCATAAGTAAATTAAAGATAATTGAATTGATTTGTGTGAGATAAAAAAAAATTCCTCTTCCTTTTTCATCAGAAATAAATTTTTTAACGTATTAAATGTTGAATACACTTTCCTCGTGTTTTAATTTTTCAAAAAATGCAATATAAACAATATATATAATATAACTATAATATCAATATATAATTTAATTTAATATAATTTTATTTTATCTTCTCGAAAAAAAAAATTGCTACACGACTCGTGAAACCTCTTCGCGTTCTATTCAACGATTTTTATATCCGTCACCAAATATAAATGTATTCAATCTACAAAACTCGCACGACCGCCATTATAGTATCGGCAATCCATTTTGTCAATTGGAGCATTTCCACTCGAGCCACGTGCTCGAGATCCGAATCTATCGAGGAGCACTGGACGGGAATCGAGCTATTGTTTATACGTATCGCGGCGCTATCGAACGAGCGGGAATATCGAAGAGTCGTGGAAAGTGCTCAAAGAGATCTCACTTTGATGGCGAGTCATTGGCCGCAAACCACGAATTTTCCAGCAAATACTGCTATTTCATTCGATTTACTTTTACCTCACAAATAGTTACGCATTTCTCACGCGCCGTGGCATTCTTGCGTTGTGTATACTAAAGACTCCATCGTTTTATTCAATATTCTTCTTTATTTGTTTGTAAAAAAAATTAAACAGGATATGTAATATAACTAAAATTTTCCTCAAATTTTACAACATGTATCATTTAAATAATTTAAAAGATCGATTAAAATTAAATTTTTATTTTAATTATTAAAATATTCCGACATATCGACTTGAACATTATAAATTACATTCCGATGTAATTTTAGTTGAATTTTCACATAATTGAAATACACATTTAATAAAGAATCTAGGACGAATTAATCGAACTCTATTAACTCCGTTTGCTTCGCGAAAGAGATTGTAAAACAACGAGTTTGTCGAGACTTTTCTCTCTGCGTCACGCACGTTTACATTTTTCCGCCGTACTTGGCTTTCTGATATTTCTTTTCTCTCTATCTTTTCGTGCGTTATGAGAAGTAAAGACTCAGGGTCGAACGGAATGGCGCCTTGTCGTCTCTTATAAAGGTAAATAACGTGGCCTAGACGGAGGAACTTTCGCGCGAGGGCTCAAAAGCTTTCAAGAACCGAGCACGTCAGCCTCGACTAGGATATGCCAAGGAAAAGAGGCGCATCCTTTCGGAGCGTCATGATAAAATTAAGTAAACTCCATCAGCTCTTAACTCGTTGCCGAGATTATAGCGTCGTATAATCCCTAAATGCGTTCCTCCAATTTCAGGCGTTGCTTGCCTGAAATCTAAAACAACTCTCCATTTCTTCGCTAATTTATCTTTTTGCACGAACAAGTAAGATCGTCAGTATCACATTCTGTTTTTCTTTTGACTTATAACTCGCGTGCGTAAATATAATTATTTTTTTCATATCAAATATCGCGGGGTTATAAAATTTCCTCGTATATTCTTGGCGAATTTCTAATAATCTCTTTTTCAATTTAGTGAGCGTTTTAATTATGAAAACTCGATCTTGCTCTCTTCCGCTACAGTATAATGAAAATACGAAATACGAGGCAAAAATCTCTTAACATTTCAAAAAGGTTGACATAAAACTTTGTTAAATTGGCAAATTCTTACCTTCCAATAATTAAAGTTAAATTTTGCTTGTGGATATTTAATGGCAAGATGCTTCTTCTATATATATTTATTTGAAAGCCGCAATTCTTTGTTGTAAAATAATTCCAGTAAGTAACATCTACGTCAGTTACAGAGAGAGAAAATGGTACGACTCTCTGAAATATTCGTCAAGTCGTAGTTGCGGTAAAAATAACAGTGCTTTAAAAATACATACCACCTGCGGCGTAAAAAAATTCACGAGGAAAATTAAGACATCGTCGACATAATACATTGTCATCGCACGGTTCTTTATTTTTTCCTTCCTTCCCATCAGAAGAGAAACTAGAAACTCGAAAGCCGAAATATTTTTATGTAAAGACTTTACGATACATCACTCATTAATGTTGCATTAAATTATTGTTAACGTGCTTGCAAACTATTATTGCTTTATTCCAAAAAGATATCATATTTTTATATAAAATTCTAATTTTCATTATGAAATTCTCTGTTATTATCTCTGCGTTAAGCTTTTAATTATAATTCTCACAAGCTGTCAACGACGGGATTGAAAAATGACTTTGTTATATGTTTTGCCTTTTAATTTTTCATGATTTTTATCAACGATTTGTATATTTTGGAAATTTATTGTAAAACTTAATATTCCAATAACCAATATTATTCTTAATTTTAGTTTCAGTATTATTATTCTATTGCTGTGTTGTCTTTCTGTAAAAAAAATTGTAAATGAAATTTTTCACTTTGACAAATACGTTACGGATTCTAATAAACCTTAATATTTATCTTTTTTCTCTTTTTCCCTCGCTCATTTCACGAAAGAAGGAAATAGACTTCGTGCTCCAGGATAACGTAAACCAAGCAGATCAGCTTTACGTAATAGAGCACATCGCGAACACGAGGAACGAGACGAGAGAGTTTGCTCGAGCGCGATGAGACGTGCACAGGAAGCAGTAGGAAAAGAAAAAGTTAAATAAATCGTAGTAGCCCTCGGCGTTGCGCTGTAGTATCTTAGGAGCAACTCGTTCGCATCATTCCTTTGCGGAGTCCTTCCATCTTCCTAAAATGTTTCTCTCTCGCGCGCTACGATACGTCCGAGAAACGGATGAGCATCTTGGAGAGGTCTCTACTATTTCGGCGCTAAAATTGCAACTGCGTCAGATATTTTGCGCAATATATTTATCAATTTTTTAATATATTTTTAAATTTTTTATCTCGATAATTTCACTGCTTTATGACGTAATTATAGCTCGGTTATATATTTCACAATATTTAAATATATTTTGTTTGCTATTCTCATTACATTTATATCGCGTGTATATTATACATGGAATATTATTTTTTATGCAAGAATTAAAATATTATGCTATATATCATTTAAAAATAATGTAATAGAGACACGCTATACTGTTTTATCCTCATCTCGCTCCGATCACACTGCACGCTAGTCAAATAGTGGAATACTTATCGATATAAGTTGTCGCGATTGACGCGTACACGCGAAACTCAAAGAGCGACTATGAAGTCAGGAAGGCGTGTTAAGAGCGACTTCTCAATTAAATCCAACTGAGCTATGCTATCTGCTACCATCAAACAGACCTTAACCGAGATTTACGGAGGACCGGAATTAAGTCTCCAGAGGATTAACAGGGTGACCCTCCACGAGTCGCGTTCCCTCATTCGCCGCGAGCTCTGTGGACTTTAGAAACAAATTTAGTCATGCTGAGAGACTCGCGTAAATCACGAAATTACACCTTTGGTATATACGCGCGGATATGTTTACTTTATTTTATAAAATAAAAAAGTTCGATGACGACTTTCCGAGAAAAAAGTGAAACTTGATACTTATTTACATATTTTAAATACTGGTGTGAAAAATATTCATGACCATATATACATATATATCATTCTTACTGATGCACCACTTCAAATTTTTCAAACATTTTTTTAATACTCTTTAAATATAGAGAATATGCTCACAAGAAAAGTAAACTATTTGATAATTCAAAAAATGTCGATATTTTTTGAAGATATTTAAAGCGAAAAATATAAATATAAATATTTAAAAACAACACAGAAAAATCTGAAAAAGAAGAACAGAACGTAGAATAGATTGTCATTTAAAAATATGAACAGAAAAAATCTAATATGCACGCTCTCAACGAATTCGAATTGCAAAAAATTGAAATTTCAAATAATAAAATAACTAGAATTTGCGAATCAGTTTACATTATTAAATCTTTCTTTTTCTCGATTTGACATCAATGGTCTTCTCAATATATGTGATCTTCGCGAACGTCATCGAATATAGAGGGTTCTGTATAGAGAATTCGATTATTTTCGAGTGATCTCGAGGCGCTTTCAGATTGCTGCTAGGACCTCTCGAGCTCGAAACGATTGTCGAAGGACTCGTCAGGAGCCGGCCCCGGTTTCTTTGGCGATGCGGGAGCGGACAAGGAAAAAGCAAATTCGACAAAGCAGGAAATCTGCTCTTCAAGACGCGACTATGGTCCTCATCCGCGGTGGTCCTTACTTATTTTCGTCCTTCTTCCTTCCCTTCGCGTACCCCTGTCCACCTCGTTTTTCTACGCGGTCGACCTTCTTGATCTTCGACGAAGGAGGGATCTTCTCGGTGCTTTCTCTTCTCTTTCATTAAATAGACCGACCCCCGACAAAATTCAATTTTACTCGGCGAATTGCTTTTTGTTGTACCATCGCCTGCTTCGGTAACCGGATCCGGATCTGCGACTTCTTTCTCTCTCTCTCTCTCTCTTTTCCTTTTTCTTTTTCTTTTCATCTCTTTCTTGCTTGCTAACCGTCGAATCGTTCTCTACGTATCATGTAAATGAATATGTTTCTCTATGCGTGACACCAGTAATATTCAGTTACATTTTAATATATAGAAACTTGAAACAAATATTTTCTAAATTTTATAAGACAAAACTCTGTATTTAATATAATAAAATAACATATAAAATACCAATATGAGTATCTTATATAACAAAATTTATTTTAAAAATTATGTTTTTACTCTTGTGATTTTATGTTTAACAATATTGTTTCAGAGAACGATAAAATCGCGGCCAACTATTGGTCCAAAATAAAAAATATTATTTTCAATTTTAAAATGCGTCTCTTTTTTTCATCTTTTTGATTCTACGAGGTTCAATTTTTACCTGTTTTCATCGGAAACCAAAGAACCAATTTTCTTCTTAATTAAAAAGATAGAATATATAGACCGCTGTGGTTTCAATTTATTTCGCGTGGAACGTTTATTTATCGAAAACTGTGCACAAAATTCATTTTGGTTACACAAGATCAGTGTAAAGTATTTGTAAACTATCATGACGCTAGACAGAGAGAGGAACGAAAATCGAGGTGTTATTTGCCAGATTGCATTCATTGTTGCTCCGTGCGGCTTGTTTTTTCAGAAAACACGTTTTCGAGGTCGCGTGAAGTTTGCGGAGTCGAGAGAACCGCCTGTGAAGTACCATGCGTACAAGTTTACGAGCACCCTTGTCGGAAGTGGCGCGGAAATTACGTTTGTACCTTCGCTCGCGTCCGTCATAACATTTCCATTTCTGCTCGTAACGTAAACTACATGTGTATATATAATTCCATTATCTACACATAATTACTTAAACGACCATGCGTGTGCTCCGCTTGTATTTATAATTTAACAGTATTTATGTAGCAAAAGCCCCGAAGCGTCAGGAAATACTATTCCAATGTGAATATATATATATATATGTATATATATATATAATATAAAAATTCAATCTTGTACATTAAATATGGATATTTATATATACTTCTTTCTTATAACACTTTGCCATATGCACGAGTAGATCATCGCATTCGCTTTATTTGACATTTCAAAAATTGTTTCTATTATTGTTATCTTTTTTAACGTTAAAAATGCCTAATATTACGACGTCAAAGTTATGAAAAATCGCTCACTCCCAGAGTCCATAAATCGCGTGGATAAATTGAGTTTGCGAGTGACGCGAAATGAAAGCGCGCTTCTGTTTTAATCGCGACCACGTCGAAACTGTCTCGTCGTAACGAAGGTATTCAGCCGGGTTCGCGAACACACTAATTAAATCCGATATTACGTAAACGAAATAATTATCAACAGGCTGCAATGGCGCCAAAGTGAGTACAGATGAATAAAGGCGCTGTCCGGGGGTGCGACTCGCTCGCGTACCGCAGAATATATGAACAAGCGAGTAAACCATATATTACATACATTACAAAGCTTGAATAGTATCATCCTTTGAAATGGATCTTCATATAACGCATTGTAGATCAATATTATCGCAGTAAATAATAGCGCATAGAAATTCACAAATCTTTTGCGCCAACTTGATATTGTAATCATATATCGATAGGTGTGTTTCATGAAGATATGTGTGTTTATTAAGAAATATTTAATTTATCTAATTTTATATGTGTTGTATATGTGTGTGCGCGTGCATTATATAATCAAATTTATTACAATTAAATTAATGAAATACAATCATGAAGTAGAAATAAATCAAAATTTCAGAAAGCCAAATAAACATCATTCTGAATTGAAGAGAAATTACAATTTTAATTATACGGATAGAAACGCTACTAAATGGTACAGTTACATAATTCACACTTTAGCATTTTCATATTTCAAGTGAGATAAACGGCGAGTGCCGTCATGATTTTTTCAGAGACTCTGAATAAAACAAGCGGAAGGAGAGAACACGCGGCATTCTTTCAACGAAAAAAAGAGAGAAACATCTAGAATCCGGATCTAGGTTCTCGGTTAATGTGTGGCTGCCATGAAAATCGCGGAATTTCAAACCACATTGAATTTCATGCGCGAGAACAATGAAATAGATATACCGCTCTTTCTCTATCTTTTTCTGTTTTAAATTCTGTATATAGTCTCTTAAATGGAATCAGTATATTATCATTTATAAGCAGTGGTTTTAGTTATATAAATATAGCACACTCTATGTGTATATAAATAAAATAAAATCTCACTAAAAAGAATTACTTAGTGATAAAGACTAATTTTTCAGTGCAATCTTATTTTCATAATCAATAAAATATAAAATAGAAGAGCAAAATATGAGTGTTTGTCACTGCTTTAATCAGTGACATTTTCAGTGATTTTACACACTTTAGCATTTTCATATTTCAAGTGAGATAAACGGCGAGTGCCGTCATGATTTTTTCAGAGACTCTGAATAAAACAAGCGGAAGGAGAGAACACGCGGCATTCTTTCAACGAAAAAAAGAGAGAAACATCTAGAATCCGGATCTAGGTTCTCGGTTAATGTGTGGCTGCCATGAAAATCGCGGAATTTCAAACCACATTGAATTTCATGCGCGAGAACAATGAAATAGATATACCGCTCTTTCTCTATCTTTTTCTGTTTTAAATTCTGTATATAGTCTCTTAAATGGAATCAGTATATTATCATTTATAAGCAGTGGTTTTAGTTATATAAATATAGCACACTCTATGTGTATATAAATAAAATAAAATCTCATTAAAAAGAATTACTTAGTGATAAAGACTAATTTTTCAGTGCAATCTTATTTTCATAATCAATAAAATATAAAATAGAAGAGCAAAATATGAGTGTTTGTCACTGCTTTAATCAGTGACATTTTCAGTGATTTTTTAAGAAAATACGGAGATAATAAAACGCGATATATTTCGTTTTTTGACATTTTTCAAAATTTAGCATGGTCATCCTACGGCCGACACTGGCCAGATAATCACACATAATCGCCATAATCGTTACTGCGAGCAAGGAGCTATACTTCTAACTAGATATTTGCACGTACCTTTCAAGCAGATCTTGTTCCTCTTGAAGACCAAGACGGTGTCGTTGTATCTAGTGCCAGGCGGAGCGGTGACATTCAATCTCAACGCCAGAGGTATTTCGGCGCTAACGACCCCCGAGCAGGGCAATCTGATCCTGAAGACTTGCAGGGTGACTGGAACCTCGCCCCTCGCGGAGACGTTCACTCTCGGTGGCAGCAACGCCATCATCCCGGAGGACGGTCCACCCAGCACTCCCACCACGTCATAATCCAGCTCCATGGAATACGGTAACTGTGTGTGTGTGTGTGTGAGAAAAGAAGTTAGGTTTCAAAAAACTTTGCATTATTACATTGTCATTATCGCGAAGCATACAGATTGCTTTTGGGCAAATAAACGACAATTTTTACTAGAGACGAGAATCCTTGAGAAAAGCTTGATTTACGCTCGTGCTCCAATTGCAAACTTCCCTCTCGCGACTCGACATTTCGCACGTGAAAGTATTCCAGTTATCGTCCGCCGGCCGATAATCTGGCATGTAATAAAAATAACGCGACGCCCATATAATTCATGTGGAAAAGCCGGAGACTCGACGCGGTCCCTTCGTCGCGTACGTCGCATACGATTGCACATATTAACATTATATTATAGATATATATATATGAATAAGTATCGCCGCCGTATCGGCCGGCGCATGCGATATTTCACGTCAAATCCCGCGCGTCGGTCTATTTCGTATTTACTGCCGCCTATCTCGTAACTTTTAACCTCGAGTCGAGGTGACACACAGGAGACCACGCCGGGTAGGTAAGGTAAGCACAAGATCCTGGCGAACACGATTGTACCAACTCTCCCTCCAACCCTTCTGTCACACTCGAGATTGGCCCACCTCGAACGGCGAGTAGTGTGTTCAGGCACGCCACAAGTTTTACGAGGTGGCATAAATAACCCGGTTAGTGCTTCGTGATGCGGTGTCAACGGAAAGGCGACTCCACCCTCTCGGCTCACCGGTAATCGTCGTAATCGTCGCGACGGGGGTTCGCGCGGTGGCGTGACACCTGCCTATCGTACCCCCGTGGCGAACCCGAGATCGCGCGCTTACCTTTTCTCTCTCTCTCTCTCTCTCTTTCTTTCTTTCTTTCTCTCTGGATATTTATTATTTTTTTCCGACTGTATACATAAGTCGCGCGACAAAACGTGAACGAAACGAATGGACCGTGCACGCGTGTGCACGGCACTCCCCGTGTGTACTCCCTCCCTCCCCCGTTTCCCACTTGCGTAAGAGATACCGCGACGGGGGTCTCTATATCGGGGCTCTCGAACAGCTCTTAGATCATTCCGACCTTTCCCTTTAATTACAGAGAGTGCCTCAGTTTACGGTGGACGATTTATTTTGATTCAAGCATCGCACACGCGAATAGTTATTCACCGTCGTTGACACTGCTGGGTAGAAAGAGATCGTGCAGGAGTTATAGTTTTAAATCGTTTATAACGAAATCTATTACAGCGTTTTTATAATTAGTTATCATTAATTATTTTTTTTATTTTATTTTACTAATAATAAATCGTCTATAAATGTTGGATAAAAAAATTTTTACTATTATAATCCGATATGATCCTTTTCTACAGAAGATTTATTGTAATATCAATAACACAATGTTCATTTTTTTAATAAAGATTCCATTGAACAAATTTTACCATAAAAATATCGGAGATAGTTAAAGCTCCTTTTGAAGAAGGGAAAATAAATGATATTTCCGATTCTCCTCAGACAGGCACGCGAGCTTTTTTATATTGAATTCGTTCGTCCGGGCATTCGTCCTAATTGACGGTAACTTAATGACGATGCGGTTGAATCGAGAACGCGATGTCGAGGGTGCTTTCGAGACGGGACGCCGCCATTTGCCTCGTAATCGCTTCTCGGGGGTGACGATGACGTGACATCTATCCGTCGTGTTCGGGCTGCCAGGGATAAAACGTGTTTTCACCGTTCTACCTACACG